ATATGGCACAATCCTCCCTTTGAATTGATCTGATTCTCCAACCTCATTTTCTAACAGTGTTTTACAGTGCCCTGAACACCAGGATCATAGAGCTGCTCACCCTTTTCACAGACATCTAAATTCTTTCATGATTACAATCCTCAACTTATTTAGTTCCCTCGTTTGGAATGCTTTCCTCTCACCTTTTCTACCTGGAAAACTTTTACTTATTCATAGGCCCAGCTTAAATGTCACTTTCTTCATTGAGAACCTAACCTGTGTTTCAAGAAAAATGACAGATGCTTAGAGGATGAATAAAACAAAATTCTTTAGTAATGACTCTGTTCCCTGTACTCTTTGCACTTTGTTTTGACTTTGTCATTTTGTGGTGATTATCCATTTATGTTTCTGGATTGCTGTCTAGACTGTAAACTCTTAAGAGCCAGAGGGCCTCTTATTTATGTTTGTGTTCATATCACAGAGCACAGTGCCTGGCAAAAAGTTGCAACTGAATGGATATCTGCTGAATGAATGAATAAACGAATAGATGATTAATGTGTTTGATAAATAAATGAGTGCATAAGTGTAGCAAGCAGAGCGAGGACTGCTGTAACTCTTGGGACTGTCACAACTCTTGGAACTGTCACAGGTGGTAACAAATAGAAGACCCCTGTGTCCCTCAGTCTGGACTAGCATAACCTGGAAAAGACCTTCAGGAATCACTGACATCTTCTAAATAAGAAGCTGAGACCAGACAAGGGAAGGGGCTTGTCTAGATGACCAAATGGCCAGCAGCTGGTCCTCAATTTTTCCCACGCCACCAGGACAGGCAGCCCCAACTGAAAGTGTAATTCTATCATCCTAGCACCACAGGACCCCTTTGTTCCATCTAACTCTACTCTCCCAAACAGCATGCAGCCCTGGCATCATCGTCTTGGAATCTGATCACTGGTTTGGTTGCCTTCTTCCTCTGTCTATTTGATATGGCCATCCAGGAAGAGAGTGCTGACAAGGCAGCCTTAAGCCCTGCACTGACAGAAATCAGGTGTCCTCGCTTCATAAAAGAAACATTAACCGATCCGATGGGAGCTGGAAGCAGAAGTGCTGACAAAGATGTAACTCCCAAGGATTCTATGGGGCAAGGAGAAAACCTTGTTCTCTTCTGATTTAGAGGCATTATGGGGTTTGCAGACAAGACAGAGAAGAATGAGAGACCTCCAGGGTGGAGATCTCATTTGCTCAGCTGTGGGGAGCAAGGGAGGGAGAAATGAAAAGGAAGGCCATGCCCTTCTCTCTGTTCCCAGGGCGCAGTCCAAGTCCTTATCCTCTCTCTTCGGCCAAAGTATCCCCATTGCTTCTCCTCCTGTCTTTATTGTCTTCAGCCTCAATTTGCTCCCCGCTCAGTAGTTTTTCTAAATTGCTCGACCATCATTTAGATGCCCTTAATTAAAATCCTTCAGTGGTTCCCTATTACTGTGTGTGAAATTCAAGCTTGGGTGACATACAGGACCTCTCCTAAGCCCCTTTCTGCTGCCTGAAGGTACCAATTTCCCCCCACAAAAGTGAATTCTCTTTTTATTTACAATGTAGTTCAGAGAATCTCTAGCAACGAAAAGATTCAAGAGACAGCAGTGGGTGGTTTGATGGCAGGAGTGAAACCTCTTTCTAGGAGAATCACCTTTCTTTCCACACCCACACATGCATCCCGCTCCATTCCTTTCACAGAAAGTCAAATCTAAGTGGCACATGGTGACTGAGATGTTCTGTCTCATGCCCAGCGCTATCTGAGACCATGGACTTAAGAGATGAATCAGATACAGTCCCTACTCTCAAAGAACCCACAATCTGATGGAGGAAAAAGAAGTAGAGACAACTATCATGGGGCTATCTTAGAAGTCTGCTCAAAGTGCTCTGGGTAGGGGTAGGGAGCCAGAGATGCTAACTATATGTGGAGGAATTAGGGATATTTGGGATAGTCCTTGGAGGATAATTGACAAAAAAAGAGGACCTAAAGAACTTTTTCTTTATTATAAACCATGTGCAAAGGCTTGTAAAAGACACAGTGTGGAATGTCAAGAAAACAAGGCACAAATGAATAGAAAGGGTGGGGCAAGGGAAGAGATTTCAATGGATTCAGGACCTCACATAGTGTCATCAGATCTCCTTTCTCTCTCCATCTCCCTTGTCTCTTCTTCCCTGACATTGGTCTTCTTTTCTCTCATGTGGAGGAGCATCTTCCTTGTGAGTAGGAGAAGACGATGGCACATATAGAGGCAGTTTCAGTCCATCATCACAACTGTAGGAACTCAGAGGAAAGAATCTTCTTCTCACTGTGTGTCTTAGTTTGGATTGCTATAACAAAGTCTCACATACTGGGTGGCTTAAACTTCAAACAGCTATTTCTCACAGTTCTGGAGGCTAGGAAGCCAGAGATCAGGGAGCTGGCATGGCCGGGTCTGGTGACGGCCTTCTTCTGGGTTGCAGCCTGCCGACTTCTCATCCACATATGATAGAAAAAGTGAGCTAGCTCTCCAGTTTTCTCTTATAAGGTCACTATTAACATTGAAGGCTCCACCTTCATGACCTACTTGCCTCCCATAGGCCCACCTCCAAATAGCACCACATTGAGGGTTAGATTTCAACATATGAATTTTGGAGGAACACAAACATTCAATCCCCAACACAGTGTCAGTGTACATTAATCCTGAGGAAGAACTCAGATTGGCCCACATAACACGTGCCTACCTCTAGGACTAACTTTTGTTCACCACTATGGAGGACATGATCAAGCAGACCCAGGTAACGTGATAAGGGCAGGACTCTAAGATGACTGATCTCTCCAACATCACATGGTCAGAGTAAAGGAGGAGCAGTTCTTTAAAGGAAGATGGATTGCTATTATCAGAATACAGATAAAGGTTTGGGATAGAAAAAACTCTAGATGTCCATTTCATCTGTAGTCTCTCCTCTTTCAAGGACACCTTGGATGACTTTCTGGAAATACCACAGATTTCCTGACCTTCTCTTTATCAAGAGGACTTGCACATAGCATCCCTTCAATGAATGTCTATTGATAACTATTTTGTCATATGTAAAAAAGAAAAATAAGAAATAAGATAGAGATTAAATAAAAATAATAATGTGGCAAGCTGGAAACTCAGACACCGTATTAGCTTTGAAAGAACTCATTTGGAAGAAATGTCTTGCTGCCCTTGGTGAATTTGAAGAAAGAATAAGAAGACACTCAAAGAACATGTGGAGTATGTGCAGCTGCGTTTGCACCAGGAAGCAGGGCTCAGCTGAAGAGCTGCAGTCAGCATCCGAGATAGGAGAAGCCTGTCCTGGCTTTGATGCTGCAGGGGATAATGGAGCCATAGTGCAAGCACAGGGCCTTTTATTGATGGGGGAAAAAGAAGCCAGCTGGGGTTTGTCTATAGCTGAGCTTCTGATTCTGTCCCATACTTTTGAAAAATACCCTCTTTGTTTCTTGGCTGCAGGTGGCACCTGTCATTACAAGGCATGTAAATAGAATAGGCAGCCCTGGGCTACTTAAGAGATGCCCCTTCCTCAAATGAGTCGCAAACAGCTCTCTGAGTTCATCTTTCTCGCTTTGTCTCGTCCTGTGTTTTTCTCTCAATCAGAGGATTCAACTGAACAAGGAGGAGGATGGTGGCCACAGAACTCGGGCTCCAAGAAAGAGCCACTAACTTTTCTTACAAGATGATAACATCAAGTTTGCTATAGCCTCCTGTCTCATACTAAATGTCTAAGTGTTGTAAAATATAAAATATAAAATATAAAAGAAAAAATAAGTCCAAAATGAGTTTCCAAACCAAGAAATGAATCTCCAGTGGGTTCAGAAGCCATGAATTCCTTAAAAGCAGAAAGCAAGTGGGATTGGTGTGAAAAAGAGAAACCACAATTCAAAAGGCATCAAGGGGGTTCTATTGAAAAAGATTCTACTTGCCCAGAAAGAGTAGAAACAACAAAGAAAGAGGAGGAGACCCAGGGTGACTGACCTGGTGCAAGGTAGTGCACCAATTTGACTCCCACTCCTAGGGCAGCTGGCTACTGCAGGAGTCTTGCCCTCTGGCAAAATGATGCTGTAACATTTGAATTAGGGAGATAAGGCAGGACCACAGGTAACTGGTGACACCCAAGAGCAGGGGTCCTCAAACTTTTAAAACAGGGGGCCAGCTCACTGTCCCTGAGACCGTTGGAGGGGCGGACTACAGTTTTTAAAAAAAGGCGCCCCCTATCTGCAAAAAAAAAAAGACCTCCTAACTTCAGAAAAAAAAAGGTTCCCCTTAACCGCAAAAAAAAAAAAAGGCCCTACTAACTGCAAAATTAAAAAAAAAATAGACCTCCTAACTTCAAAAAAAATAAATCCTAACTTGTTCTTACCTCGGTCCTCAGGCAGCAGCAGGCTCTGCACAGGCAAGCTCGTGACTCGTCGGATCACACCCAAGACTGAGAGGAGGAGTCGAGAGACAGAGAGAAGGAGGGGAGTCGGAGAGTGCGATGCACATTCCACACATGCGCACGGCGGGCCAGACCAGTCGGCTGCTAGGCAGGACAGGCAGCGGCGGCAACAACACCCGGTGGGCCGCATAAACGTCCTCGGCGGGCCGCATGTGGCCCGCGGGCCGTAGTTTGAGGACCCCTGCCCAAGAGAAAGGAGAGCATCCAGAGCACAAGTCACCACACACAGCTATTCTGACACAGGTGCCACTATTTCCCAAACATCAGTGCAAAGGGAGAGTACAATCCAGGAAACACATCCCCTCCACCTCTCAAACATGCTGCAAGAACAAACAGAGCACAGCCAAACAGACACTCAGCTGCAAAGACAGATGCACAGCCCACTCTCACCAAATAAATGGAGGAAAGTCAATACTATGAAAAAGAAACAGCAAACTTCAACTCAGAACCTGTACCACTGAATCACAAGGGTAAGAACAAGCAGAACATGAGTCTTGAATAAGAAAAATTAGCTCTGCTCCTCCCGTCGGCGAGACACCATGGCGAAGGTGCAGGTCGGAGTGAACGGTTTTGGCCGTATCGAGCGCCGGGTCACCAGGGCTGCTTTTGACTCTGGCAAGCTGAGTATCGTTGCCATCAACATCCCCTTCATTGACCTCAACTACAGGGTGTACGTGTTCCAGTACGACTCCGCCCACGGCAAGTTCCACGGCACCATCAGGGACGAGAACTGGCAGCTCGTCATCAACGAAGTCCCATCACCGTCTTCCAGGAGCGAGATCCCAGCAAAATCAAATGGGGTGACGCTGGCGCTGATTACGTGGTGGAGTCCACCATGTCTTCACTACCTTGGAGAAAGCTGGGGCCCACTTGCAGGGGGGAGCCAAAAGGGTCATCGTCTCCGCCCCCTCCGCTGACGCCCCCATGTTTGTGATGGGCGTGTACCACGAGAAGTACCAGAACAAGCTCACGATTGTCAGCAACACCTCCTGCACCACCAACGGCTTGGCTCCCCCGGCCAAGGTCATCCACGACAACTTCGGCGTCGTGGAGAGACTCAAGACCACCGTCCACGCCATCACTGCCACCCAGAAGACTGTGGATGGCCCCTCCAGGAAGCTGTGGCGTGGGCTGCGGGGCCCTCCAGGACATCATCCCTGCGTCCACCGGGGCTGCCAAGGCCGTGGGCAGGGTCATCCCTGAGCTGAACAGGAAGCTCACGGGCATGGTCTTCCATGTCCCCACCACCAACGTGTCTGTTGTGGACCGGCCGCCGGGAGAAGCCCGCCAAATTTGACGACATCAAGAAGGTGGTGAAGCTGGCCTCCGAGGGCCCCCTCAAGGGCATCCTGGGCTACACCAAGCACGAGGTTGTGTCCTCCGACTGCCACAGCGACACCCTCTCTTCCACCTTTGACACTGGGGCTGGCATCGCCCTCAATGACCACTTTGTCAAGCTCATCTCTTGGTATGACAATGAATTTGGCTACAGCAACAGGGTGGTCGACCTCATGGCCGACATGGCCTCCAAGGAGTAAGAGCCCCGCACCACCAGCCCCAGCGAGATCACGAGAGGAAGCGAGAAGCCCTCAGCTGCTGGGGAGTCCCCGACCACACTGAGAACCTCCCCCCTCATATTGTCCATGCCAGACACTCTGAAGAACAGGGGGACCTAGGGAGCCCTGCTTTGCCATGTACCATCGATAAAGTCTTCTGTACTCGGAAAAAGAAAAATTAAATCGACACAGAGATAAAAGATTTATAATGGTAAAATATCAACTAGCGATCATGAAAATTAAAAAGAAATTAATCAATGAATGTAAAGGAAAAAAGGCAACATATTGCTTGTGTGGTAGAATGCACACAACTGTAAAAAGAATTAGTGGGCTGGAAAACTGAGCTTAGGAATTCTCATAGAAAGCAGCAAAAAGGAATAAAAAGATTAGAATAGCTAAAGAAAGATTAAAGATCATGGAAAACAGATTCCAGATTTTTAAAATCCATCTAATAGATGTTCTAGAAGAAATGAATCTTTAAAGAAATAATAAAAGTTCCCAAACTAAAGAAAGACAAGATGCTCAGCAAGAATAGAACAACTTCACATATGGAAATTTTAGAACCCAAATGGGGAAAGGAAATCAGAGAATCACCCAGAAAAAGAAAAGCAAATTCACCTACAAAGGAAGAAGAGTCAGATTACCATCAGCCATTGCTTTAGCTACATGAAAAATAAAAAGAAATTCTAGGTGAAATGCACTTCAAGCCAAGAGTTCTATGATCAGTCAAAATTTTACTGGAAAATAAAGATTTAAAGAAGTTATTTCCAGAGACACATGGCTTCAGAAAACCAATAACCCACATTCTCTGGGGGAAAAAAAGCAGAAAACAGTAGAAAATAGCATACAAGAAGGAGAGAAAGTAACTTAGGAGGTAGGAAGTAAGTTGTGGAAAGCAATAACAAGAACAAAAAATAAGAAATTAGTAGAACTTGCTGTTAAATCTCATTGTTTAACAGTAAGCATTGATTGATTTAATGTAAGCTATAGATTTGTATATGAACTGAGAGGGAGAACAGGACATAAAATTACACTAATATTTGTGTTTTGTTTGCAGAAAGGATATGAATATTCATATAGTCATTCTTAGAAAAACATGTTTAAATCGATGTTAAAAATTGAATGCCTAATACAAAATTAGACAGAGACATTACAAGAAAACTACAGACCCAGGTCCCTCATATATATAAATGCAAAAATTCTTCAAAAAGCCTCAAACATTAACACACTGAGTTCAGTAAGATATATAAATAATTATATACCCTAACCAAATAGCATTTATCCCAGCAAAGCGAGGTGAGTTTAATTTCCAAATATGAATCATTATTTAATGGACTATATTAATAAAATAATGGGAAAAACTACATGACAACATCAAAATATGCAGAAAAATCCAACATCCTTTCAGGATAAAAAACACTAAGAAAAAAGAGTAGAAAGGAATATCCTTAATCTGACCAAGTGTATCTATGAAAAGTCAACAGCTAATATTATGCTTAATAGTAAGAGACACAGTCTTTTTCCCTGAGTTCATAAGACAAAAATATCCATCTTTGTCATTTCTATTCAATGTTTTGCTGGAGGTTCTAACCAGGACAACAAAACAAGAAAAATAAAACAATGGCATACAATAGGAAAAAGTAAATCAAACTATGTATATTATTGATGATACAATCTTACATGCAAGCATCCAGAGGAGTCCACTAAAAAAAACTATTAGAACTGATTTTTTAAAAAGCTGCAAGTTGGTAGAATATAAGATCAACATTCAAAAATCAACTGTATTTCTAAAGCTAGCAAAAACTAAGCTGAAAATAAAAATAAGGAAATAATACTATTTAACAAAAGAAATGTAAGACATATAATGGAAAGTAAAAAGCATTATTGAAAGAAATTAAAGAATATCCAAATAAATGAAAAGACACCCAATTTTTGTGAATTGGAAGACAGTATGGTATCGGTACAGGAATAGGCACTGAGACCAATGGAACAGGACAGAGATCTGGAAATAAAAACACACTACCTCAATCAAATCATCTTTGACAAAGTCATCAATAACAAACATTGGGGAAAGGAAACAATATTTAGCAAATGGTGCTGGGAAAACTGGACAACCACATGAAGAAAGAATGAAACTGGATCCCAGCTTGGATGACATACCAAGACCTCAACTCTACAAAAAGTAAAATTATTAACCAAAAACCCAGTGTTATGTGCCTGTGTTCCTAGCTACTTGAAAGGCAAGAGGATCTCTGGAGTTCAGGAGTTTGAGGTTGCATCAGGCTATGGTCACATCACTGCACTCCAGCCCAGGTTAAAGAGCTAGACCCTGTCTCTAAAAACATTAAAAAAATAAAAAAGCCTAAGTGATAAATAAGAACAATATAGTAGATGCTAAACATGGGGTGGGGGTGTGTTTTTGCATCCATGGCAAAACAGAATGTATTTTTTAAAAAGAAACAAAGAATACCTAATAAAAACAAGAAAAGACATAGATTGAAGAGAGGTAGAAGCAATTAGAAAGCATGGTACATTAAAAACACACACTATGATGTAGGAACGAATCCAAACTTAGTAAGCACCATCAATATAAATAGGTTAAATTCATGTATAAGAAATAGACTCCTGTATTGTATTTTAAAAATCTAGTCATTGGTATTTTCAAGAAATAAATAAAATAACATTGTCACTGAAATAAAGGAGTGAAAAAACTTGGTTAGAAATGATTAACGAGCATAAAGCAGATGTAACTGAATGAGAGGTTAGGTTTGCTATTATTAAAAAAATACAAAAACTAATAAATGCTGGTGGGAATATAGAGAAAAGGGAACTCTCATACACTGTTGGTGGGAATGAAAACTGGTACAGCCACTATGGAGAACAGTATGGAGATTCATTCCTCAAAAAACTACAAATAGAACAATTATGTGATCCAGCAATTCCACTACTGGGCATTTATCCAAAGGAAAGGAAATCAGTTTATTGAAGAGACATCTGCACTCCCATGTTTATTACAGCATTATTCACAATAGTCAAGATATGAAATCAACTTAGGTGTCCAACAACAGAAGAATGGATAAAGAAAATGTGCTATATATATACACACAGTGGAATACTATTCAGCCTTAAGAAAGAATGAAATCTTGTCATCTGTGGCAACGTGGATAGAACTGAAGCACATTATATTAAGTGAAATAAGCTAGAAACAGAAACACCACATGGTCTCACTCATAAGTGAAACCTAAAAGAAGTCATTCTCACAGAAGTGTAAAGTAGAATAGAGGATATTAGAAGTTGGGAAGGGTAGGGGGAAGAGAAGGATAGGATCAGATTTGTTGAAAGATACACAATTACAACTAGATAGAAGAAAATTTTCCAGTGATCTGTAGCACTGCATGATGACAATAAATGTTTCCAACATAAAGAAATGATAAATGTTTGAGATGAAGGATATTCTAATGATCCTAATCTGATCACTATATGCTATATGCACCCAAACATCACTATGTACCCCATAATATGTACTATTATTGTGTCAATTAAAAAATAAAATAGAGTGTAAACAAATAAATTTAAGGGGAAAATAGTTGAAAGAAACAAGGATATGGACACATTTAGCCAAGAAAAATGGACTGGTATATACCTAAAATATAGTTACAAAATAGTTTAATAAAAAATTGAAAGAATGACAAGAAAAAGCTGGAAAAAAAATCAAAATGTTGTTGAGAACTTAAACCTCCAAGAGACAAACTCAGACAGAAAATAGAAGGAGGATATTTATTTTGGTAATCTATCAATAGGTTTGCTCTAATATATAGAAAACTTGATAGTCAATAAACAGAGGTTCTACAGCACTTGGAAACACATGTGCAGCAGTCATAAAACATGTCCATCAACAAGGCCACAAATAAAATATCAAATTTCAAAAAGTTAATTTTATAGGCAAAATTACTAACCATTATGCAATAAAATGACAAGTTAACAACTAAAATACAGATGTTTAAAAGCAAACAAATAAAAGCAAAACAGGCATCTAAATCTAAATACAAGCCCCTCCACACACATATTTCCATACATTTTTTGATTAATGAGAAATCAAAATAGAAACTTTTAAACTGAAGAAATGCCCAAAAAAACCCCAAGAAAATTAATTTTTAAAATATATTTTTTAACATGTATAAGAAAAAAATTAATAAAGATAAAAACAGAAATTCATGAAATAGAAAACCTGTCCCATGCCTCTAGTGGTTTTTCTCGCTGGTTTTCTCTGGTGGAGTCTGGAATTCACTAATGGATCTGGGTAACTGCTTTGTGATTTGAGTTGCAAAAATGGCATCTTTTAACTGAACACTGTACTTGATCAGCTGAACCAGTGAGGTCCCAGACTTCTAAGGGCATCTCAAGCAGGTCGGACTTTTGCGGTAGTCCCTAAAGTGCAGAAAGCATAGTCTCTCATTTTTGGCAATTCCTTACATTGTCTCCTAACCTTGAGCTGACCTTCTCCTCAAAATAGACATCAGAATATCCCTCATTCTGAATGTACTATCTAGCCTTCCTTTTTTAAAAATTGCCTTTGTGGAATGAGAAATTTCATGACCTTCTCTGCTACTAGTGGTAGATTAAAATGATTTGAAAGTGTGGGAAATGGGACATGTGCAAAGGAGTACCTTTATTTATTTATTTTTAGCATACTGAGAGTTTAAGTGGATTTTCAGAGTAAAGAAATGTATGTAGCACATTAGAGTGTATAGAGAGCTTAATTACATTTTACTTACATTATTTGTAAGAAAAGGATAGGCAAATTCTCTTTGGAAGTGCATAAAACTGGATGACAAATATTATTTGAGCACCACTACATGCCTAGAACTGTGCTAGGTGTATGAGACAAGACACTGGTTCTTATCTTCTGAGGTTTTTAATCCTACTTCCTGAAGCATGCCTTCCATGGAAAAGTATTTAATTGTTGATTGGAGAGCTTAGAGATTCCAGAAGGGCTAAAGTGTGGTCTATTGAAGTCTGAATGCAACAAAGTCATTTAGCATATGATGAAGCAGAAGCAGGGGTCCCTAA